ACAGCCATTGACTTGACATTTGTCTCTCAGTCGTCGGTTTTAGATGTTAAATGGACTGTCCTGAATGACCATGGGAGTGATCACCTACCATGTTCAGTCTTGATTTCTAAACTCAGTAAGGTTAAGGTTGGGAGAGCACGCAAGACCTTCCAGTATAAGTGGACCAACAACCTACTTGGACGCTTCAGACGGGAAGCATGCAACAGAACTGTCAGAACTAATTTTCTATAGCCCCCATGGTGGACTCCAGAAGTAGAACAGGTGTGGAAGGCAAAGAGAGCCGCAGTGAAGCAGCTAAAGAAAGTACGACAAACACCCTCAAGCTCACAAGAGGAAGTGGTGATGGCGGAGAATGTGAAAAAAGATAAGGTGGAGGTTTTCAAACGCTGTGCTGCAGAGGCCAAAAGAGCAAAGTGGGAAACTTTTGTGAACGATATGGGAGGTGATAAAATATTGGGGAAATTCTGGAAACTGCAAAGGCAGATGCAAAGAAAATATCACAGTAGCTAGCATGCCTGGAGGGGGAAGGGGGAGAGGTACGCCACAAATATCACAGTAGCTAGCATGCCTGGAGGGGGAAGGGTACACCACACATATCACAGTAGCTAGCATGCCTGGAGGAGTGGGAGGGGGGACGACACAAATATCACAGTAGCTAGCATGCCTGGAGGGGTGGGAGGGGGGATGCCACAAATATCACAGTAGCTAGCATGCCTGGAGCAGTGGAAGGGGGGACGCCACAAATATCACAGTAGCTAGCATGCCTGGAGGGGTGGGAGGGGGGACGCCACAAATATCACAGTAGCTAGCATGCCTGGAGGGGGAAGGGTACACCACACATATCACAGTAGCTAGCATGCCTGGAGGAGTGGGAGGGGGGACGACACAAATATCACAGTAGCTAGCATGCCTGGAGGGGGAAGGGTACACCACACATATCACAGTAGCTAGCATGCCTGGAGGAGTGGGAGGGGGGACGACACAAATATCACAGTAGCTAGCATGCCTGGAGGGGTGGGAGGGGGGACGCCACAAATATCACATTAGCTAGCATGCCTGGAGCAGTGGGAGGGGGGACGCCACAAATATCACAGTAGCTAGCATGCCTGGAAAGGTGGGAGGGGGGACGCCACAAATATCACAGTAGCTAGCATGCCTGGAGCAGTGGGAGGGGGGACGCCACAAATATCACAGTAGCTAGCATGCCTGGAGCAGTGGGAGGGGGGACGCCACAAATATCACAGTAGCTAGCATGCCTGGAGGAGTGGGAGGGGGGACGCCACAAATATCACAGTAGCTAGCATGCCTGGAGGAGTGGGAGGGGGGACGCCACAAATATCACAGTAGCTAGCATGCCTGGAGCAGTGGGAGGGGGGATGCCACAAATATCACAGTAGCTAGCATGCCTGGAGGGGGGAGGGGGAGGGGTACGCCATAAACATCACAGTAGCTAGCATGCCTGGAGGGGTGGGAGGGGGGACGCCACAAATATCACAGTAGCTAGCATGCCTGGAGCAGTGGGAGGGGGGACGACACAAATATCACAGTAGCTAGCATGCCTGGAGGGGGAAGGGTACACCACACATATCACAGTAGCTAGCATGCCTGGAGGAGGTGGGAGGGGGGACGCCACAAATATCACAGTAGCTAGCATGCCTGGAGGGGGAAGGGTACACCACACATATCACAGTAGCTAGTATGCCTGGAGGAGGTGGGAGGGGGGACGCCACAAATATCACAGTAGCTAGCATGCCTGGAGGAGGTGGGAGGGGGGATGACACAAATATCACAGTAGCTAGCATGCCTGGAGGAGGTGGGAGGGGGGACGCCACAAATATCACAGTAGCTAGCATGCCTGGAGGAGGTGGGAGGGGGGATGCCCCAAATATCACAGTAGCTAGCATGCCTGGAGGAAGGGGGAGGGGGGACACCACAAATATCACAGTAGCTAGCATGCCTGGGGGGAGGGGGAACACCACAAATATCACAGTAGCTAGCATGCCTGGAGGAAGGGGGAGGGGGGACACCACAAATATCACAGTAGCTAGCATGCCTGGGGGGAGGGGGGGGGGGGGGGGGACACCACAAATATCACAGTAGCTAGCATGCCTGGAGGAAAGGGGGGGGGGGGGGACACCACAAATATCACAGTAGCTAGCATGCCTGGAGGAAAGGGGGGGGGGGGGGGGGACACCACAAATATCACAGTAGCTAGCATGCCTGGAGGAAAGGGGGAGGGGGGACAGCACAAATATCACAGTAGGTAGCATGCCTGGGGTTGGGGGGGGGGGGGAGACACCACAAATATCACAGTAGCTAGCATGCCTGGAGGGGGGAGGGGGGACACCACAAATATCACAGTAGCTAGCATGCCTGGGGTTGGGGGGGGGGGGGGAACACAACAAATATCACAGTAGCTAGCATGCCTGGAGAGGGGGGGAGACGCCACAAATATCACAGTAGCTAGCATGCCTGGAAAGGGGGGGGGGGTACGCCACAAATATCACAGTAGCTAGCATGCCTGGAAGGGGGGGGGGGCGCCACAAATATCACAGTAGCTAGCATGCCTGGGGGGGGGGGGTGCCACAAATATCACAGTAGCTAGCATGCCTGGAGGGGGGGGGGGGGGTGCCACAAATATCACAGTAGCTAGCATGCTTGCTTGTTTGCTCTGTGGTCATAGGTTTTATCACCCTGCATTTTTAAAAACCTGATCAAGACGTCCAATTTCTTCTGCTTCTTCTTCTCTTGCTCGTTTCTTTGGGTAGAGTTTCAGAGAATTATAAAGATGCCTTTTTTCTAATGCATTTGTCAGAAGGTAATCTTTTTTAAAGAGACTCATGGGGCAAACAAGTTAACAAATGTAATACGTATCATTAATTGTAAAAATAACACAAGGAGCATTTCATAGGGTGAAGAACAAACCATGCAGTCCATCCACGTTTGTCAATTAATGTGAGAAAGAACTGCAAGTGGAAAGCAAAGATATAATTTACATGGATTGTTTGGCTAAATGGATGGGGCAAGAGAAGAGCACTGACCTGAACCCTGATTCTGGTGATCAAGCGATATGACGATTCATGACCATTCTTACATATCAGCAGGGTACATGATGATGATGCTGAATGTGAGAGAGAGAGATCTTAAGAGCTACATAGTTTCATTGTGATGTACATAAGGGAATCATGAACAGTCAGCTGATTAGTGAACAACTGGAAAGCTGAATCTGAAGAGAAATAAAGGGAGACAAAGACATACAAGGTTAGAGACCTGCATGACTTGGAAGAAAGTCTGTAATTGAAATTACTGACAGTAGATGAGACAAAAGGCTGTGAACAGACATGATAAAAAATACAAAAAGGAATGGATTATAAGAAGAACAATAGATAATGATTTTGCAAAACATAATGCATATATACTACAGTAGAGGCAACAAGTGATTTTGTTCTTTCAAAATATGAGTACACTGCTTTTGGAGAACATTGTGATTGTCAGAGGAATTAGTGGTATGAAACTGGAGCAGATCAGTAATTTTAAACTCTCCGTACACACACAAATGAACATACCCACAGTCAAGGCAAAAAGTAATAACATGATCAGCAATTAGTGATGAGGTACAGTGTTAGAACCCTGTCTTAACAGTCATGGGTCAGTACAGACCAAAGAGACGGTGGACGGTATGTGCGTACAGAATGCTGAGTTGATGGACCGGTCATTACAGTGTAGGCATGACTGTTTCATGTATGAATGTAAACTACAGTTCATCTCGTTATAGTTGACTGCTACAAACTGTGACGGGACGGGTTTGTCTTGATGAATCAAATGCTCCACTGACGAGGCCACGCTTCATACAGGGCCAAAATGGAGTTCCAAAATTGACAATCGGCCACAAGGTGGCTGGACACAGGCATTCGACATTCAGGATTCAGACAGGAGACAGGGATATGCTTAGTTGGACAGTATAGAATGTTAGGGTGTTAGAATAATATTTTAGTGACCGGATAGATTTTACATAGTGTTACGTTATGAGAGTATAGCTTCTCTCTGTTGTGCAGCGTCCAACGGTGACAGGTGTTGTGTTGTCCTTTATTGCGTAAGCAGTGCTGAGATATTCTGATAAGCAGAATTGGGGGTTGGTATGATTTTTGTGAGGATATCTATCCTCGGCCCACTGGCACCCCACTAAATGGCCGCTCTGCGATCCTGGTGAGGTCCAGTGGCATACGATAAGAGCATATCCTGCATAGGTTGGATTTGCCAACCTGGGAGTTGTCCATGGGAACATATGTGCGTGTCTAGTGAATGTAAAGCTAGCACAGCCAGTGTTTAGGGTAATAGGGGCCCACACAGCGGGAAAACAACTGTCCTACTGTTTATCTGTGATTTACATTAAAGACTGTCATGTGTGCTCCGTGGGTGTCTGGTTTTGGTGTGTTTTTAGGTTAGATCATATGTCACAGGCGCACACAGCAAGCCACGTACTATCAAGGTCAATTAGAGATTGGTGACATACAGCAATATATGCCAGGTATATTCTAACTCACCTGCTCCTCCCATTTTGTATATCTCTGCAAGCTTCTTTGTCTCTGCATAGATCTTGTCAAAGTTTTCACAAATATTCTGTTTATCGACGAAGTCAACATAATCTGTTAGCATTTCTTCAACAAAGTCTTGCTTTCCATATCTGACAGTCCAGTTCTCTAGTTTTGCCTCAAGATTCATCAAGGAGATGATAAGTTTGTATCTGCAAAACATTTGAAGTGCTAAATATAATATAAAATGTAACTAGAAAGCTAAATGAAGGAAACATAAACAAAGAATGAAAGTAAACATTGTGGAATCAAGGGAATATTTCTCGTGACAACATCCTACAGAAAAAAAGATAAGCTATCTCGTGTTTGAAGAAAAGTTTGTAGGATGCTCTGGGTTGGGTATGTGTGCTTGTTTGAATGTAAGAGAGAAACAGATATACAGATTAACAGTACAAAATAAAAACTTGCCTTGCGTGAACATAGTCAAGTCTGTTCTGTCTAAAAGTTGAGCTCAGTGCAACAGTCTCTAGCCTCTTGGACATCTGATCAAATTCAAGTCCATGCAACTCTACACCTTCATAGCAACCTGCTTGTTTGATCTGTGCAAAAAACTGTTGCCATTCATCCAAGTCTTCAAAAAATTTCTGAAAATAAAAATAATATTTTACTTAAATTCCAAATACCAGTGTACTTTAACATTAAAATCTAGGAAAAGGCACTTTCAAGAGGCAGACAGCAAAACAATCTGTTCAACTTGTGCACAGATGACTGTAAAAAAAATTTTTTTTCATGGTCTTATGGTTTTAGTCATCACCTGTGTCCAGAGTCTATGTCCTACATTCTGTCGCTGATTTTTTAAACAGGTATTCATCAATGCCATGTTGCCATTTTCTCTCACCCCTGCATCTTTTTTCCAACTTTCCTATTCCCATGATGTGCTCATGGTGCAAATGTTCTCATGACTTTTAAGTTGTGATTTGTTTTTAATAATGGCATTATATTTAATCTGATCATCATCTGAATGGTTATATGTGATTTTATTGATTTTCGATCATGTGTGTGGATAGGGTAGGGTGGGGCAGGTGAATGTGCCTCTCTCTCTCTCTCTTTTTTTCTTTCTCTCTCTCTCTCTTTCTTTCTCTCTAAAGAGATACATAGAAACAATTCACATGTTTGGGGGGAAATTGTGAACAGTCAGCAGATTAGTGAGAAATTATGTGAAAGCTGCAGAAATGTGATTTTCAAGAAATACTGAGAACATCCTAACAGACCATAAGTTAGTTAGTTAGTTAGTTAGTTAAGTCAAGAATTGACATCACAGCAATCGGGGCATTCCCATGTGTGCTCTCTCCTCATCTTCATCAACCAGTGCAGAGTTCCAATACTGATGGTACTGGCCACAGTCTGGTTAAAGGTCTGTCTCACCTTTCCTCTGAGTGTAGCGAGTTGGCCAAACCCTCTGGTTATACTCAGGTGCGTCATTCTCTCCAGGCAATAATAATCTTGTTTCTCTACTGATTCCGTTACTTGTTCCCAAAGGGCCTTGATAACATCTGCCTTGTCATGCATCAGTTCACCACCCAGTGGTGCGGATCCAGCCAATCTGTCTGCCTGTTCATTACCCACCATGCCGGCATGACTAGGAAAAAAGATCCAAAGTATGCTAATTACCCGTGATCTTTCCGGTGAAGCTTGCCACTCTGCTCGAAGCATCCCTGTTTTCATCTTTCTCGGCATACTTTCAGAGTCTGTTACAATTATGACATGTGTATGTATTTTGTTCTCTAGCCACCAGAGAGCTGCGTTTACCGCCTCCACCTCCATTCTCATGCTAGATGTTGTGGTGTCATATGCTAGGCTGTCTTGCACTAAAGATTTCCCATTGGCTTTCGCTATGAACCCCCAGGCACTTCTCTTTCCTCTCAGCACTGAACCATCTGTGTAGATAATCAGATCACCTAGGTGTGAATTGTCGTGAACAGACCATAAGTGTGTAATGAAGAAATCTTGAAATGTGCCTAACTTTCTACTTATAAATTTGTATATGGTATAATTAGCAGATGACATGCTGGTAAGTGTAGTCATAGTTCCCCCTCTCATTTCACCACTGAAATCATTGATTTCAATGTTTACACAAGCAGGATAGCGGCAATAGAGGCAGTGGGAATTGAGAGAATTTTGGCTTTTGCTGATGATGTTTTAGTCTACAGACAGGGGGAAAAAAGAATAGAAAAATCTAGAGAGCTGCAGGCCATGCTAGACAAGGTAGGGGAGTGATGTGATGAAACAGGTTCTACCATAAATCCAGATATGGAAGCGGTATTGTGGTATTCATTAAATAATAGAATTGTTACAGACAAGGTTCCAAACATCACAATAACTGGTAGTAATAATAAAGAGAGAGAATTCACTAAAATATCTTGGCATAACTTTTGACAGGAGCCTGTCTTTCAAGTACCATGTGGAAGAGGTAGTGTTAAATATATAAGGAAAGGACTCAATGCTTTGAATGTGATGGTGTTAGTGGAAATGGAACAGAGAATGCTCTACACACTCTATCAGCAACTTATTATTTCATTGATGGAGTATGGTCTGGGCCTGCTCATATTATCTAACAGCCAAACAGACAAGCTAAAACACATTTAAAATGAAATTATGAGAGTCATTCTGGGATGTACAAGGGACATGCCAATTGTATGTATGCGGCAGATATTTGCATTGCCATTCATATATAAAAGATAGAAGGTATTACAGGTGAAAATGTACCTTAAAGTTGCAACGGACAGGGAATGCCTTCTACATGAGGCCTCTGGGGACAGCAAGGGGCACTGGCTCAAGAGGTAACTCCTGGATGGCACAAGAAAAATTCATGATCAGAACTGTTTGTGCTACTGACAAGACAGCTCATGGTGAGGAATGGGTTACAGTGCCACCCAGAAAAACAGACTTGCATAAAGTGATTGTTATGTTGGACTAGGGGTGTCAGGAGTGGATAGCTTAGCAAAACAGGCATCGGTGCAAGAGCTGATCAAATGAAAATTCATGCCAAGGAGACATGGTGTTATATATATATATATATATATATATATATATATATATATATATATATATATATATATATATATATATATATATATATATATATATATATATATATATATATATATATATATATATATATATATATATATATACGCACATGCACGTGCGCACGCATGCATGTACGCACACATGCACACACAGACACACACACACATACACACACACACACACACACACACAGAGACAGAGACAGAGATGGATCTGTAGTGAGAGGTAAAAAGAGTAGGTTGGGTTTTATTGCAAAGGCTGTAGGACACTGTTTGAAAACAGATATAATGTCACAACATGCAGTATAAGAATGCAGGTGGAGGTGGTAATGGCAACTTTTCAATGACCTGAAAGTAGCAAAGCCTAACATGTGGTCATTTTAGTGAACTCACAGAGCACACTTAGGACAAAAACTGGCATCCTCCACGTACAGTGGCTTGCTTCACTTTATAAGACTTTGATCAGAAACAAGTTGTAGATTTTCTGTACACAGATTCAGGTGTGTGGGGTAATGAGTAAGCTGATAGACTAGCTGCTGCCACATATGATAAAACAGAAGCGGCAAAGGCTCTCTGAGATAGAGTGGACAGTGCAACAGAAAGGATCAAGGATCACTACAGTGACAGACCAATTCAGCAAGTGGTGAGAAGAGGGTCTGGAAGATATTCAACACTGTGGAGAAAAATTGGCAGATTTTTAATCAGGTTGCAACAGTTCAGTTCGGCTCTTCGTTGGCTACTGAAGAAGGGGACGGAGCAAGTGTGGGAATGTCCCGAGTGCAGGAATGTGAATTCTTAATTCATTAATACATTTATCATTGATTAGGTCAGTGCTCTTGTCCTGTCCCATTCATGAGGCCAAACTGTTCAGGTAATAAATATAAGCTTCACTGACCTACATCTTCAAGCATGAAGAAGAAGGTGGAGGCAATCGCTGCAGCTCTGAAGTGGATAGCGGAAAACACATTTACCATAAGAATCAGTGTCTGATTCTCAGTCGGTATTTCACAAAAGCATGTTTATAAGTAAAGAGAAGATGGACTAAATAACATAATCTTAGAGTCACGCTGGTGATAAAACAGAAAACAAGAGGTGGCCATGGAAGAATATTGACTGATGACATTTAAGAGCTTCTACATCGACATGGAATGGTAATAGCCACTGCCGCCCACCTGGTAATGAATCCCGAACTGTTCCTACCCACAATACTCAACAGCAGAAGTGGAAATTAAAGATGATGTTAAAAAGATAGTACCACAAATTAATGTAAGACTAGTTCTATAGTTAGACACAAATAAAAATGTTTCTGGTGAAAACAAAACAGAGTGCTTTTAGCACTGTAATGAAGTCTATAAACAATGCTTACTAGATTCTCATACAAAACTTTGAGCATTTCTCACGGTGAGTACAAACAAATGCATTTTCAGAATTAAGCAGAAAAGTAAGTGTATATACTCTGTGTTCTTGAGCTAATTCAGCATAATACACCACCATCTTGTCAGCTTGATCAGATATCGCTTCCTGCTTCTTCAAGAGTTTTTCTGCTTGATATAACCATTGGCCCAGTTCTCCTAACTTTCCAGGAAAAGAAGCATCAAGTTTTTGAAGCCATAGCCGTGCCTGTGGAACAATTATTAATTGTTATAAATATGTGAATGTTATGTCTTAGATATAAGTGTATCATATATGCAGATGTTTATCTGACATAGGAATATTGTGTCTCACATCAGAGTATCTTTCAAACATACTTATATCTTATTGATTGAAATAAATTACATACTATGACAATGTAATTCAAATAATGAGGTAAACATATTTCAGTGATTTAATTAGACAGGCCCAGGAACGAAAATAATAGTTACATCAACAAATTACTTTTTGCTGATGACCAGGCCTTGATTGCAGATATATTCATGAATTTGCAACAGCCTCTCACATCCATTAAAGAAGAATGTAAATAAAAAGTATGAGAATCAACATGAAAAGAGGGAAATAAAAGGAAGAAATAAACAGGATTTAAACATAGCATTTAAGAATACATATTTTAAACAGGCATCTGAGTTTAAATATCTTGGAACAACATTCACTGAAGATGGTTAATTGGATGAAGAAATTGACATCTGATGCAGTAAAGCTGGCCACATGTTGGGACAGCTAGCTCCCTCTTACAGCATAAGGCAATCCCAATCAGCACAAAGAAACATCTCATACAAAGCATATTCATTCCCACCTTATGCTACCAGTGCCAGAAGTGGTCACTCACAACAAAACATAAAAGAAAATTAGTAACCACGAAGTTGAGGTGTCTGAGAAAGACTGTACAAGTGACCAGAAGTGATAAAATCAGTAAAGAGGTCACAGGAGATAAAGTCGGTACAGAATCAATTCTAAATTACATACAAAGACAGCAACTCAAGTGTTGAGCCCACTTGGAGAGAATGCCTTCTGATGCTATACCATACAAGGCATATACCAAAAAAAGTAGAGGGGTGTAGAGCAAGAGGTAGACCAAGAACAGGTTGGAAAAATGGCATCAGAAAAACTCTTCAGCACCACAATGTGTCTATGGTCCAAGTAGCCAGAAGAGCATGAAACAGGATCTTATATCTACCTTATATCTCTCCTTCTTTTTACCAGAAGCGGTAAAAGAGGAAGTAAAGAAGAAGAAGAAGAAGAATTAGACAAAACTGGCAAGAGTAGAAATCAAAGAACTCACTAAATTTCTCACAAAAATGTGAATACTTCCTTCGTAATTTCCTTCTTTTCTTTCTGCACTATTTTCTAAAGATGTTGGTTGTTACCTGCTCGTCTACTTCCTGCCAACTTGAGTCTAGTTTCTCCCATTCAGGCCAGGATATTCTCAAAGCTTTCCCTGACTTGACCTTTTGTCCTAACTTTGAAAATAAGGGTTCTCTTCTGTCGAGTTCAGCCTTAAAGCCAATGTAATCCTATTATGTCAAACAAGAAAAACATGGTAATTATTTTAATCTGTGAGCATGAAATCTTGATTGTAAAAACATGGAATGTCATAGTGTGTTAGTTAGTTAGTTAGTTAGTTAGTTGGGTTATCATCATTGCACTCCGGACATGTCCATAGGTGCTCAGATCCTCCCCTCAGTATGAATCCCAACGTCCGATGGCTAATAGTACCAGTTCTATGTTGATTAACAAGTCTTCTGACGTGTCCGGTGTGCGTCTCGTTTTTTGCTGTGCCGATCTTAATTCCCAAGTCTGCCATTCTGGCGAGTGATGTGGATTCACTGCCACCAAAGTCCTCTATCCTTCCCATTTCTCTGAGGGCATTGATAATATCAGCATGATCCATAGGCCGACCGTCGGTAGTGATAGCGGATCCAGCCAACCTGTCAGCTCTTTCATTTCCATCGACGCCTGCGTGTCCCGGAACAAAAATAAAGGTGACTCCTCGCACAGTGGACTTCTGAATTGATTCAAGCCATTGTCTTCGCACTGAACCTGCCTGAACCCTCCGGATCATACTCATTGAATCACTGAGTATACATATGCGGGTGTATTTTTGTGTTTCAAGCCAGGCAAACGCTTGCGTCACTGCCATCACCTCCATCGTCATGCTGCTGGTTGTCATGGAGAAGGCGCCGTTGGCTTCTTTGACTGTTCTGCCCGCTGAGCGTGCTGTAAATGCCCATGCGCTTCTTCTTTGGCGTATAACTGATCCGTCTGTATAGATTAGTGCATCTGCTTCGTCTGAATTTTCACCGATGAGAGCGTTGACCTCTGCATTAACAGCAACAGGATTATCTTCTCTACATCGCCTGTTGAGTGTGACAATACAGGAAAATGTACAAATAAACGCCTGAGGCACAGGTATCCATTCTGCACCAGGTATGATGTCGGTTAGGCTGCATATTTGCCTAATAACATCTTCTGCCCGACCTAGCCACGATTTTCCCCTCTTCAGTCTGTCGCCCTTTTCACTAAAAAGCGCTTGATGCAGTGGGTGTTTCTTATCTTGTCATAGTGTGTGAAGTTAACTATCTGTATTTTGGGATATTACAAGAGTAGCAACACCCTAATATCTTTGACTTAATTATGCCATTAAAAAATGAATAATCTCCATGGTTCACCCAGCCAAAAAAGGTATTACACAAACGTCATGAAATTTAAAAGTGTTTTACTGACTACTCAACCAACTGCAAACGTTTGCCTATGCAAATATTTAAATTTGCCATTTATACACACAAAAACTTTGAAATGGCACCTTTCTTTTTATTCCACTACAGATTTTTTGTCAGCTTGATGGTCATGAGCTTGAATCTCCCTTCTCCCCACAGCCAGGTAACGATTTGTTAAAACTAAACTATGAGATCCTGCAATCACCTATGCCAATACTATACTTTAGGTTATTGAGATACATCATACCATACTGGTGATGCATTCTGAAAGCAAGGAAAATGGGATAGTGTGATTGTGTTTGCATGGGGGTATCTCATATACCGAACAGTTACGACTGCCAGTGACAGAAAATTGGATGGACGCTCAAGTCCTAGACAAACAGCCTGGTATAGTGTAATCAGGGAATTCCCTGGGAGGTTCGATGGTTTACTGAGTTGACATAGCAGTATTACAGACAAACGTGAGAAATGTGTAAAGCAAGGGAAGTGATATTCATGTGGAACACTGAACAGTTACATGACCAAATCCCATGGAAAGTGAACAAGGGTTTGGAAGGACGAATGAGATAGTGGCAGTTGTTGTTTGACCATGTGAGAGGCAAGAGGTTTTGTATGGAGTGACTGAAGTGAACGGTGATTGTGAGCTGAGGAAACGAGAACTTAGAACGCCAGGAATGTCTGATGAGAACTGATTCTGAATTGTGATACCTAGTGACTGCGAACTTTTTGGTGCTGTGATTTAGATGTAAAATTCCCGCGCGAATGAACTATTTGTACTGAAAGGTAATTGCCTCTTTGTTTAATTGTAATCCTGTCATGGCCGTCAGTTAAGAGCAAGTTTTAAACGATCAGGAACAGTTTAGGACAATGACGGTATGACTCTTTTGATAGACTATATGAAATTATGTTAAAGTCATTGTCATGTTTTGATGGTACCTCTGTGTGTCCACATCATAATGGAGGAATTAGAGAGTTGTCATCAGTATATTTAGCTAGAATAACAACACAGCAGCAACACTGCACAAAGCAAGACAATTTAGTCATGTCATAGTAAAATACAAAAAGTATTCAATACAGTAATGGTTCAGAAAAGATTGCTGCCAGCTTCAAGCCATTAAGTCTTACCAAAAATTCCGATTCCCTTTCAGTAACTGGTTCCTGTGTTGTGGCAAGTATCTCTCTGGCCTCACTGTTTAGCCAGTTCAATAAATTGTTATAGGCTTTTATCTCTTTGTCTACTGTCTCAAGATTTGTACCTGGGACTCCCTGAAAAGGCAAAATATAAAACTGTGAAAAGAGTTAAAAGAAGTTTGCAGAAACAACTGTACATAAACTACACATCAAACAAAAATTAGGTCTAAAACTGAATTATAAACTGTTAAGATTTTATATCACTGACATACTAAAAACAAAAATTTGAAGAACAGCATTTAATTAAATTAATTTGGAAATTCAGAAATTTAAGATTTTATGATACTAACGCTGGCTCCTCCTGGGTAGGCTTTAAGAAACTGGGCCACATATGTCATGATGGATTTCTCATCAGGTTTCTCTACATCCACATCTGCAAAGAAGGATTTGTATACAAATTAACCTATGACAATGACATTCAGTATGAGAATGGAGGTAGAGGTAGTAAAGGCAGCTTTTTGATAGCTTGAGAGAAACACAGCCTGATATTTTGTAATTGCAAAGGATTCATAGAGCATTTTTCAGAAAAAATATAAATGATAAAAAATGATAAAAAGAAAATAATAAAAAGATAAGACTTTGGGAAAGTTTTGAAAGCTACATAGACAAATACACAGACATAGACAAATGCTCAAGAAAGATCGGCCCAGCTTAGTTGGAACAATTCATATAGATGACAGCTTGCTACTAATCACAGATAAAGAGAAGGGGGAGGCTTTCCTAAAGAGGTGTATTTAACAGAGACCACAATGATGAAGACAACAGAGATGTAGTTAGAGAAGGTCTGTCAGCCACCATAAAGAATCACCTCTGACAGAAGCTTGTCTTTCAAGGATCACATAAAGGTGGTTGTGTCAAAGGTCTTAATGCACTAAAGATTATGGCAGCAATAGACAGGCAGCAGTGAATATGGCTTACATTTTACCCGCACAATCATCTCAGTGATTGATTACGGACTGGAGTTACTCACTGTCTTGAAGAGTCAGCTATAAAAACTGGAGCGCATACAGAATGATGCTATGCGGTGATCCTGAGATGTACAAGTGACACCCAGATTGTGTGCATGCGATACATCCTTCAATTGTCGACTATTACAGATAAGCTAAAGGTGCTGCAGGCTCAGTCATACCTCAGAGTAGCTGCAGATAAAGAGCACCCTCTGTATGAAGCTTTGGATGCAGTTAAGCATAAGAAGTTGAAAGGGGGAAAAATCATTATTATAAGCTGGAGAGAATGATGCACCTGGGTGTGACCAGAGGGTTTGGCCAGCACACTAAGGTCAGAGGAAAGGCAAGACGGACATACAACTAGACTATGACCGGCATCATAAGTATTGGCTGCTGAGGATGGGGATGGAGCGCATATGGGCATGTCATGAGTGCTGTGATGTCAATTCTTGACCCAACTCAACTTTTACAAAAACAAAACAGAAAGAAACTGGTGACTATGTGTAGAGTGGCTTACCTTGTTTGACAAGACTCAGTTGAGGAACATATGAATTTTCTGTCCAGGATATTCATGTGTGCACGGTAACAAGCAGCCTGATAGACTGGCTGCTGCTGCTGCTCTGAGCAGTGAGCAATTTAATGATAAAGCAGATGTGATGAAGATTCCCTGGGATCAAGTTCACAGCACAACAGAACAGAGTATTCATACTTTGAAAGACTAATTCAGCAGAAGGTGAGCAGAGATTCTGAAATAAATTGAATACTGATGGAAACCATAGACTTTTAATCAGGATGCAACTGGTACCATTAGCATCTCGATTCTTCATTGGCTACTGTATAAGAAGGGGATGGAGCATGTGAGGCAGTGGCCTATGTGTAGGAATGTCAATTCATTCATTTATTTAACCTCTGACACAATTGTATTTTACTGTCTTCTAAACTTAGAGACATGTAATATCAATTCTTGCAACCCTAGACAAGTATTGATATAACTCTTACTTCTTAAACATTTGTACTTAAAGTCGCAGATGCCTGAATCTGAACAGGTTCAAATAATAACATTATACTACAACATGAGTTTAGTTAAATACTAGGATTCTACCCTTTGTGTTTAAAGGAATACAAGATGCACTATCATATAATGGAGATAAAATACCCTGTGTTGCGTGATATTTCTCTCTATTTAATGTACCACTGGACAATGTAAAAACAAGAATATGCAACTTGGAATAGTTTTTTTTTGGGGGGTGTTTCAATAACACGCATGTGCATTCATTTATTCTTAAGTATGGTAAACAGCATAAAAAAATTGTATTTTTGTGCGGTTTACCAAGCTACTGAACTATTTTTTAAAAATATTGTAAGTAAGTAAAGTAAAGGACCGTCTTCCACGCCTTTAGGCGTATAGGGCATATATGGGCTAGACCTATATTTTTATAGACCAATCGGCACAAGATGGGTGATGTGGTCAGCATCTACTTCCCGGGACTGCACCCGGTACCCACTCAAGGCTGGGTTGACCTGGGAGCCAAGGTCAATTTTTTTAAAAGTCCGACACCGCCAGGGAGAGAACCCACGACCTTCCGATTCCAAGGCAAGTGTCTAGCCACTCCACTACGGCAACCCCCTTGAAAAATATTGCTGTCAAATAATCTTCTTTATGACTATCAATGTGATTTTGAACCCTAAAATTTACTTAAAGTAACATGCTGATTAGATATATGCAGAGTTGGATGAAGCGTGTAAAGAAGCACACTTCTCTTAGTCATTTCTAGAGCTAAGCTTTGATCAGAGACCATTCTGTAATGTACCTCATACAAAATGTGCAAAGATGGCAGAATACACTAACACAGGGAGAAGATAATTGGTGAATGACGGTTTCTTAATTTAGAACACACCAACAAAAGTTTGGGTAAAATGAGTGATTGTGTGAAGATACTAGTTGATTTCGAAAGTCGTTTTTGTGCTGTGTAATGGTTGGTTGATTGGCTGGCTGGCTAGTCAGTCAGTCAGTCAGTCAGTCAGTCAGTCAGTCAGTCAGTCAGTCAGTCAGTCAGTCAGTCAGTCAGTCAGTCAGTCAGTCAGTCAGTCAGTCAGTTAGTTAGTTAATCAACAGATTGTCCTCACTGCACACTGGACAAGTCCATAGGCGCTGGGATTGAATCTTCAGTATATCCCCCACCATGTGGTGACTAATAACACATGTTCTGTGTTGGTTTACTATTCTTCTTTGGCTACTCGTTCATGATGACCTGAAATTCTTACAGTCTTTTTAATGTTGCCATGTAATACATGTGTTACATCTAGAGTCAAAGCACAGGAAATATATAAGATTTTTTTTTAAATTATGTAGATACATTTATGTGGAGTCATTTAATGTAATTTCTCAGGCAGTGGCTAAATAATCCTCTTGTTTTGTTCTTGTTATCACTGATAAAAACGTTGACAGTAACATATCCTTGTTATCTCTGTATCTTTCCTTTCACCCAGCCTCCTAGTTGTACTGTGGGTATATTCATTAACTTTTATTATCATCTCTACAGCAGTCAACCCATTTTCTATACAAATTTGTCTAAGACCAAATAAACTGACAATGGATTCTAACCTTCTGGGTCCAAAAGTCTTGGAATGCCCAGCTCTGTTTCAGCAGTGGCGAATGCATGCTCCAGATTTATCTTTGCTTGTTGTTTCTGGACTTGATCCATGTCCACAAGGTCAGGTCGAATGTTGTGAATCATGGCATTGAAAGCCACACCATCGGTCCAGCTTTTACCAAAATCTTTTATATGTAAACCATATTTCCTGGATAACAGTTTTTTAAAAAAAAGGAGAGAACATAAACATTACAATAACCTCCAATTGTACATTGTGTTCATGCTGATAGGGTGTGTGTAAACAATGTGTCATTGAGTGTGTAAACGAGTGATTGAGGCAACTTGAATTTTACAAGAATGTGATCAATACAGAAATGTCCAAGCACAGCTCAGGTACTCAGCAACCTTAGTTAAAGACAAACAAGATGGAGATCCAACTGTCCTTAAGTTTGAACTTAACTCTAGGACTTGACTAACAACAGGAGAGTTTTTGAAACTTAGATGTTTACAGTAGCATATGCCAATGAGAATTGTACAGTACAGAGCTGAACATGTTAAAACTGTCAGACCAGCTATGGAATCCAGTTTGTATAAACAAGGATCACCACAATGGCCAAATGGCACAATATACCTTTAATCAGACTTTTCTGTCATTCAGTTTACAACAGCAACTACATAAGAGCTAACTAGCTCCACATTAATTTTAAAAAAAGAAAAGCTTATCAAATGATATTCCTGATACAAGACAGCTACATTAGCAGAAATTACAGTTATAAGTTGTACCCTTAGCTACGGCATTAAAAAAAGCTATAGTTCGTTCAACATCTCATGATCACACTTGCAAGCCATTTTCTTGAAAACTGCCTGTTAGATGGCAAAAATTTGTTGCATGCAGCCTTAAGGAAATAATTTTTCACTAAGGAAGAATATCATATAGAGTTTTTTTCTTCTTTGCGATATATATTTTTATCATGAAACTGTGTTGGTAGACATTTGGAAAGTTTACTTTCATTAGCATTCAGGAAGTAATGCAAACTAAGACTGGTTTAACAGAGGGTCAAAGAAACCCCTATGTAATTTCATAATTTTCTTGTGCAAAGTCGCACTTTTAATGACCTGACACCAAAAAAATTTGTTGGTCAAGGTTGTTTAGTCAAAAGTGCATCCACAAATTAGTGTTAAGTTATTGTGTCAGATAGCGAGCTTATGAAAGCTGACATAGACATCAATTTCAAACTGAATTTGAGATGCAAATGTATAACTATGCAGAAGGTTACTGTTTTACTGTACCAGCACTTCCTCAGGGAATCTAAGATGGGTCATTTATATTGTGATATTCATGACTCAGAGATATGAACATTACTGGCGCTTGGTCTGGATAGAGCATTATTTAACTGTTTGATTAGACAGAACACAATACACTCATGTCAAGCAAGGAAGGAAAATGAAAGTTGACGACCTTGATGTAGATGTCATTAGACGTGAAATGTTAGAGACAAATTAACTTGTTACTCTCCGAAAACTGAAATTAACA